GACATCGCATCCAGAACTGAGAAGGAAGTCCTGGACCCTATCCCCCATACCCAGCACCGGCCAATTGCCATCACCATTAGATCCGCTCTCCAAGCAACCACCGTCCCATTCCGTAGGAGGTTCAACCTACGGAAAGCCGACTGGTTGTCATTCCAACAGGAGATAGAGCATTCCATATCTAACATACCACCACTTCCCAATAACTACTCCAACTTCACAGACTTGGTAAAAAGGTCAGCCAGACGCCACATACCCAGGGGATGCCAGACACAGTATATTCCTGTACCACCTTTCTCCTCTACCACCATGGAACTTGGAGAGACCCTGATCAGCGAAGTTGGGGAAGAACAAAGGAAAGTCTGGAAGGAAATAATAGAGAACACCAATATGACAAATAACAGCAGGAAGGCCTGGGCTACAATCCGCCGTCTTGGCGAAGACCACACCACCCATAATCACAACGGTCACAGCAAACTCGGTTGCATCACAGCTGGTGGCCAACGGCCGTAACCAACACCGCCAACAACCCACAGGAGAACACCATCGCACAGTGGTATCAGACTAACCACAACCAGCCAGCCCTCTCACCAAACCCTTCGACATAGAAGAACTCGAAACTGCAATGGGTAAGCATACATACTGGCAGAAATGATACAGCACCTGGGACCTAACGCAAAGACCTGGCTCCTGGAGATGCTGAACACATGTATGGCACAAAAAAACCATCCCTCCTGTCTGGAGAAAGGCCAAAGTGGTTGCAATCCCCAAACCCGGCAAAGACCCATCATCCCCAAAGAGCTACCGACCCATTTCCCTCCTCTGCATCACTTACAAGCTCTACGAGAGGCTGCTACTCCAACGCCTCATGCCACTCATAGACACCAAGCTGACTAAAGACCAAGCTGGTTTCCGCTCCTGTGCTGGACAGCTACTCAACCTCACCCAACACATTGAGGATGGGTTTGAAGGAAAAACAAATAACTGGAGCAGCATTCATAGATCTTTCTGCTGCCTATGACACTGTCCAACACCGTACAATGGTCAGGAAACTACTGGACATGACTGGTGACCTGAATCTGTGTCAAGTCATCAAAAGCCTCCTCAACAACAGGCGCTTCTACGTCCAGTTAAATGACCAGAGGAGCAAGTGGAAAGCCCAAAAGAATGGCCTCCAACAAGGTAGCGTACTGGCCCCCCTCCTGTTCAACATATACACAAACGACCAGCCATTACCCCCAGAATGCCAACGTTTCATCTACGCAGATGACCTCTGCATCACCACCCAACAAGTAGACCTCCAGAAGATTGAGCCTGTCCTTGAAAGTGCCCTCCAAGAAATGTCAAGCTACTACAATAACAACCACCTGAAACCCAACCCATCAAAAACCCAACTATGCAGCTTCCACCTGAGGAACCAAGATGCTAAAAAGGAACTGAGCGTCACCTGGGATGGCCACAAACTGTCCAACCACACGCATCCCATGTATCTTGGTGTTACACTGGATAGGACACTCTCCTTCAAAAAACACCTGGAGAACACCAAAGCCAAGGTCAACACCCGCAACAACATCCTGCGCAAACTAGTGAACTCCAAGTGGGGTGCAGATCCACCAACAATCCGTGCAACTGTCATGGCCCTGTGTTTCTCTACAGCAGAGCATGCCTGCTCAAGCTGGAGCCGATCACGTCACACCAAACTGGTCGACACAGCCTTGAATGACACCTGCCGCATCATCACGGGATGCGTTAAGACAACACCTGTCCTGTGCCTCTATGCGCTAGCCGGCATCTCTCCCCCGCACATCAGACGACTAGGTATCGCTCAAGATGAACGGAGAACACAGGAGACAGACATCAGACACCCCTTGCATGGCCACGTAGCACCCCCACGCAGGCTCCGATCCAGAGCCAGTTTTGTGCAGACAGTCCTGCCCCTCCAGACAACCAAACAAGCAGCAAGGTCCAACATCTGGGAAGATGAATGGCAAATAAATGACACACGAGCTCTTGAATGGCTGGACAGAGGAATCACACCAACGGAAAGCTTTGCTAGTGGCTACGACCTTGGCTGGACAACCTGGAAGTCACTTAATAGACTGCGTGTGGAACAGGGGAGGTGCAAAGCACTGATGAAAGTGTGGAACTACACCACAGAAGACACGTGGATCAGTGCAGACAATGTCCCATCTACTGGAATGTGCCGATGCCCCCCGGTGCAGTCCAGAAGACCTGGCAGAACCTGCCCCATCAGCTGTGGCCTGTGCCTGATACTGGCAGAACCACATCTGAGATTGCTACGGACTCGAAGAAGAAGACACACACAAACACACACACGTGCACACACCATACTTGCCAACCCTCCCGATTTTCGCGGGAGACTCCCGATTTCATAGCCCTCTCCCGGTTTCCTCCCGGGGTCATATTTCTCCCGCATTTCTCCCGATTTCTGACAAAATCAGATTTACTCACGACTGTTTCCACTCGGACTTTAATACACCATTGTTTGGTTTCCATGGTAGCGCCGCGCGTCTCTTTAGCAGCGCGCACAACTGAAAGTCTAAAGAGGGTGAGGCAGATAGTCACAGAAAACAGAACAAGAATCGACAACTCGACCCTCTGCTCACTCCTTTCCTGTAAAATACAGGTCCAGCCCACACATCTCCATCAAGGATGGTGCGACAGGCTGCTACAATAAGCATCCACTAGCACCCCCCCCCCCCCCCCCCAGCGGTGATTTGTTTTGAAATGCACCCGATTTCTGAGGTCTCAAGGTTGGCAAGTATGGCACACACACACAAACACACACACAAACACACACACACACACACACACAGTCCTTGCAACAGCTTTAGCAAGTCAGCTGTAGATGAAAGGCGACCACACTCTCTCCCTCCTTACACACCTTCACATTCTCCACTTGCATGGTCCCCCCAGACAGATATGTTCTCGCTGGTATTGACTTATTTTAGCCTCCACTATTTGTGTACCCATCCTTCTCCTCATTATCATCACAGCTGCCACTCTTCCTGCTGCTTGTTACAGACTGCTCTGCCCTCATCATCATGTCTTCCTGTCAGAGAACACTGAAGGTGATGAGGGAACACAGCAGTCAGCCGCAGACATGTGTGTCCAGTCCCCACATGCTGCAGTCACAGACACACACTCTCTGTCAGCGGAGACACACACTCTGTCAGCGGAGACACCAGGCTCCACAGCAAGCGGCAGAGAAAGAGAAGTGCTTACATGTTTGGAGCTATCATTATGGAAATGCTAAAGTGGACAATAGAGATGTGAAGACAGCTTTATACTGTGCTGTAAAGTTAACCATATCAATCATTTTCAAAATGCTCTACAGCAGCAAAGTTAAATATTACCAAATCAAAAATATCTTAATTGTGATGTGTTTATACTGGGCTATGCGATATAAAGAGGTATTTGTATACAGTTGCACACACATTCCACGCATTAAGCTTAACATGTTCAATTTGACTGTTCAGAAATATAATAAGCCAGTGGAGAAATGTAACTAGGTACATGTACTCAAGTACTGTACTTAAAGAATTGAGGTTCTTTACTTTACTTTTCACATTGTGTTTATATTTGTACTCTACTCCATGTATGTTACATGTTGAGTTACTTACTTTGCATATTTAGATTATGAATACAAAACTATAAATCAAATGAAACATGATCATATATTATATAAGTTAAGCTCTTTAATACATAAAGTAATTCAAAGAAAGCCCACTTTTACTAGGTGCAACATTGAAGTGACATTAATGCCCTAATCAGTTTAATACAACCATTTCAAATGAATGGTGCTTATTCTGCATAATGAGTATACTATACTTAGAGCGTATTTTTGATGGATTTAAAAAAAAAACTTTTAACATAAGTACAATTTGTAATGCAGGACTGTCGCTTGCAACTAGTATTTCTTATTTCTACTTTTACTTAACTCGATGTACTGTTACACCTCTGTATGCCAGTCGTTCACCAATTCTGTTCACAGCATTATCAGGAAGTAAACATGATTGAAAAACTGATGTCAGATATATAAATAGACGATATGTTGAAGCAAGCTTTTGGGTTGCATGGGGAGACTTTGTACTCATGACCTGTGAACACATCTTGCTGCTGTCCTGATCTACAGACACGTGTGCGCACGCACGCACACACACACACACACACACACACACACACACACACACACACGCACACGCACACACGCACACACACACACACACACACACACACACACACACACACACACCCACACACACACACACACACACACACACACACACACACACACACACAGATAAGCATCGTCCCTGCAGGAGGACCTGTTGGAGCACACTGTGCACAGTGCAGTGTTTCCTGTGGAGCAGCAGCACTAACAGAGCTCCTTTCATCCCGGGGAGAGGAGCATGCAGAGGGGTCAGACTGCAGGGGGAGAGCTGAGCCGCTCCATGTCAGAGGAGCAGCAAGAATCACAGCTTATAATAAACATGTGGCTTATGTCCGCGCCCAAAAATAAAGATCAGTTGTGGCAGCATGAAGAGGAAGAGCTGCCCTCAGTCTCCCGGTGCAGACTGCCCCCCTCAGCAGATCCGAACCAGGAGCTGTGCTGCTATTTAAACTATTATTGGATTTGATTTCCAACTGAAAGCCCAATACTGGCACTGCAAGATGAACTGAGTGTTAGACAGCATGGGGGGTTCAAGCACCGGTCCATGAGCGCGCGCTCCACTTACCTTTGCCCTGAAGTCGTGTCCTGACAGAACGCTCAGCAGCCCGCAGCCACGCGCAGATGGAGGTTACGGAGGGCGAGCCCTCAGTCCGTGGCAGCGGACCCAGCAGCACGCGCTACTGACACGGATCTTATCCGGCACACCTGTGGCTTACAGCGGCCACATCCCGCCCCAAACACTCACGCTGCACCCCAGCCTCCTCACACACAGCATGCCAGGCTCTCAGAGCAGAGGACGGAGACCTACCTGCTCAGCAGTATCCGGCAGTCCCGGAGTGGCGCGCGGAGCAGTGATGGAGCGGAGCGCTCAGTGTGTGCGTGTGTGTGTGTGTTCAGTGTGTTCAGAGTGTGTTCTCAAAGTGTGTTCTCAGTGTGTGTGAGCTCAGTATGTGTGCCGGTCGGAGCACAGACACGGCCATAACGGTCCAAGGCGCGCGGTGCAGCGCCGCCTCAATCCTCCAGCTGGAGGAAGACACGCCCACTGTATGTGCGTGTGTTTGAGTGCGCGTGCGTGTGTGTTTTCAGAGGGGTAGGCTTTTCCTAATTCCTCTTTGCAGGGGCGTTGCTGAGATTTTAATAGCGAGGTAAAAGAAGAAATACAAAGACATTTTAAATGCAATTTTAAATAAATGAGATGAGGGAAAATTGATTATCTAAAAAAGGCGTTATGTTGTATAATTTGATTTATTTATCCAGTCAGCTGTTCGTTAGTGTCTGTATTGTCAGGACCTCCACACAAACTGATGAACCCAAATGCACGACCCAGAGACAAAGTCTTGAATATAAAAAAAGGTATATTTATTTTCACAGGTCAGGTAATTCCTCTTAACAGAGTAGGTGGTGGAAATAACAAAAAGCACTCACAAGGAGGAAAAAACTAACGTAACGAAAAGAGGACTTAACAAAAACTTAAGCCAAGAAAAATAAACAAAAATAACAAAACCTGACATGAGTGAAAAGCGATCCTTTCGGGGAAACAAACAAGACGAACTGACACAGGGCAGGGGAGAGACAGGACTATTTAAACATGAGGTGAGTGGGAACAGGTGGAATCAATCAGGGGAAGGGGCAGACACTGATGATGGCGGGGAAAACACTCAGGGGAGGAAGAAACAGGGCCTGACGAGACACAACACGTATATGTCTCCTCAGATCTTCAGCTCAAGGTTGTTTTAAATAAAGATGGCTATTTCTTTTTTTTAAAGAACATAAGTGTTGGGCTAGCTGAGCACAGGGTGCACTGACCACAGGGTGCACTGAGCACAGGGTGCACTGAGCACAGGTGCACTGACCAACAGGGTGCACTGAGCACAGGGTGCACTGACCACAGGTGCACTGACCACAGGGTGCACTGACACAGGTGCACTGAGCACAGGGTGCACTGAGCACAGGGTGCACTGACCACAGGGTGCACTGACCACAGGGTGCACTGACCACAGGGTGCACTGAGCACAGGGTGCACTGACCACAGGGTGCACTGACCACAGGGTGCACTGACCACAGGGTGCACTGACCACAGGGTGCACTGACCACAGGGGTGCACTGACCACAGGGTGCACTGAGCACAGGGTGCACTGACCACAGGGTGCACTGACCACAGGGTGCACTGAGCACAGGGTGCACTGACCACAGGGTGCACTGAGCACAGGGTGCACTGAGCACAGGGTGCACTGACCACAGGGTGCACTGACCACAGGGTGCACTGACCACAGGGTGCACTGACCACAGGGTGCACTGACCACAGGGTGCACTGAGCACAGGGTGCACTGACCACAGGGTGCACTGACCACAGGGTGCACTGAGCACAGGGTGCACTGACCACAGGGTGCACTGACCACAGGGTGCACTGAGCACAGGGTGCACTGAGCACAGGGTGCACTGACCACAGGGTGCACTGACCACACAGTAACACATGAGAGGAGGATTCCAGATTAAATTCATGGCTAACATCCCCATGTTAGATTTGAAAGCTTCTGTCCCATGAAGAATTGAATATTTGTGAGCTTAAATGAATGTCTGAATGATCATAACCCAGCTAACAGCACACACTGTAACAAACATGTTTATTGAGACAGGCTCTGTCTGACAAGCAGGGTCGGGGGGGTTTGACCCCCGCACTGAGGACAACCTGTTCTGGGAGGCAGGGAGGTTTTGGGGGGGGGACCCAAATGCAAAAGCAACCGTACAGCAACAGGACATGGAAATAAAATGTGTTTACGACTCACATAAGATGCAGCTGTACACATCTGGAGTAGGCAGGCAGGAGGGAAGCTCACGTTTGGCTAATGATGGGACAACGAGGGGGGGGGGGCAGTAGGCTTCAACACATGGCAGAGCAAGATACTGAAACAAGACAGGTACAGGAGATATGGCTGGACACACACACCATCACACACTGCGGCCCCTCCATGCTGATGTGTAATTGTCCTGTTGCTTTCACTGGAGGTGCATGTTCATTTAAAATAAACACATATCAACTTTTTAATCAAAACTTTTTGATTTGATTTAAAAAAGTAATTAAATAAAGCAGCCAACTGGACTCCAATGAGATGAGTGCAGTAGACAGCGTTTATGGGAAGAACCTCATTCATTATTTTGTATAATTATGTCGGGTGTACCAGCTGCGAATGTAACTCTAGTCCACATCTCTTTCCAGATGAAAACCTAAAATCAATTAAGGGCTTTCAAAGTGGAACACACACACACACACACACACACACACACACACACACACACACATATATCGGGTCTGTTGGAGTAGCCTTATGGCGCGTTTCCACTGCAGCGGGTAGCCCCGTTTAAGCGTCCTTAACCGTCCTCAGGCGGCCAGGCCGGTTTTTGGTGGCGTTTCCATATAGCCTAGTACCGGCCACCGGGTACTTTTTCCCTCTTTTTCCGGCCTCATAAAATCGTGGTTCCCTCAGACCAGGGCCAGGGCTGAACTAGTGACGTCAACACTCTCGACTGCTGATTGGTCAGAGAGAATCGTCACAAGATTGCGCGCGAGTTCATCCCTAGCGTCGCATATATATCTAGAAGCAAGCTTGCAGCATTTTTATAAACATCATTTTGTAAACAGATGAGCTACAAAAATGGCTACGTCTAATAAGAAAAGCACACGTGGTCGACCGAGGAGGCTACGACGTTCCTACATCTCATTGGGGATGATCAAATCCAGCGGGAGCTCGACGGAATAACTCGAAATGTGAACAAAAACAAAGCCGATCGCCCCGCCTACACTGCGTTGCTACCCCAGGTCCTAAACTGTAATGGAAATGCGCCACGGCCTGGGCCGGCCAGCGAGGCAGCCCGAGGCCAGGGCGAGGACGCTTAAACGGGGCTACCCCGCTGCAGTGGAAACGCGCCATTAGTAGTACATTGGGACACCTCTGTTCTTTACCATAGTGGAATATTAACTGTACATTTACATTTAGTGTGCAGTTACATTTCACAGCACCAACAGCAGCACAACACATGTAGTTTCTAAAGATCTCACAGTGGCTGGAGTTGCATAAACAAAATGTAGTTTACATAAACACTGATGTATACGCGTTGACACATCCTGAGATGGCACATCATGGCAGAGCCACGGCTACACAGCTGACATCACTGCAGAATCTTTGCAAAGCCACATTGTGTGTAAAGACAGACAACCTGATTGGATCAGAATGTACATACATCAACACGTGTTGTCCTCACTGTGGTGTGACGACAGAGGGACAGAGCCAGTGGCACAGGGAGAACTGTTTCATGCAAACGGCAGATAGTCATGCATGCATCTCTTCAGGGTCAGGAACACATGCAGGTGACAGAGTAGACCCTCTCAGTAACCTTAGTAACCTCAGAGCTGAGAGTCCTCCTGTGTCAGTGAACATCTGCTCAATACTGTAGCTTACTATAGGACATTTATATTCAGAAGACTGTTATAGATACACTGCTGCACTTTTAAAAGTATGTTAAATGTAAGCACCTTTGAACGTTGCTTTTCTTGTGGCATTTTAAAAGAACTCACAAAGTGAAGCTTTGATTGGTTTTCCTCATGTCCGGTTGACACATGCAGACTGAAACATTGGAGATGCAACACAAAGGGCCACATTGTGAGGGACTGGCACTGCCATGCAGTCTGAAGGCTCTCCTCCAGTGCCAGCGCCCAGCTCAGCTCCACACAGCCAAGTGGCATTTCCATTTGCACAGTTTGGAGAGAGTCACTGTAGAGGCTGTGCCATGATGCAACTTTAACCCCACTAATGTGTCTTACATGGTCCCTTTTCTTCTTGGAAGCACACATCCCAAAGTGGTAGGGGATGGGATCTTGAAAGGTTAGTGGACTTGGGTCATCATGGCTTTTGAAGTTTAAAAAAAGCATTGCTTCAGATGGATAATAGTCACCAATCCCACGGACACTAGATGGGGCTGTCACAAGAATGTTTTTGGGATATTCTTGATCTTTACAATACCTCTCTAAAAGACATGCTCTGATGACTAATCAATCAGTTAGCTCAACAAATGTCAGCACAACCAATCTAATAGTCCTGAGTCTGATGCAAATCCTTCACATGTCATGTGGTCTCTTCTGATGTCATGTGATGGACACAAGCGCTTCATTCATCTCTGTCATCAGCGTGTTGGCTACTGTTATCTATGTTCGTTATTCTCGCGTCCAAGAGAGAAGCTTTAAAAAGGAGACTAATTGAGTCTCTGAGAAGGTTCAAATGCATACTTTAATTAATAAAAAGCGCGGTAATGTTACATGCAGAAGATGGTTCAGTCAGAAAAACAGCTGTGTTCTGGCTCTCGTGAGCGAAGGGAAGAGAGCGAGCTCCACCTTTCCAGCTGTTAAATATCCTCTGCTGGCTCCTCCCTGTGGGCCGGTTGGCGCTGCTCGGGGCCGGCCCTCCACGTCTCCAATGTTTGTTGTTGAGCATAACAGAGGATTCAGACATTGTACATTAAATATATATCTAAACACGCCTTTTCTCCTCCTTAACTCTTTCATGACTTTTCATTTAATACATTTTAAACGCTGTAATCAATACTCCAAAAAATACAGGAAATACTTCACGGCAGTTTGGTTTCCGGTAGTTCCGGATGTTGTCTCATGCTACCCACGTCTGTAAACAAACGTATTCAAATAAACTGTACCTTCATTTAATATTCAGCAATAATAATATCTCGACGTCTATAGTTGTAGTGTTGAAATCAGTAGGTTTCGGTGTGCAACACTCCGTGTCATATCGCTACTAAATTCACCTCTATAGTAAATGGTATATTAGCCACATGCTAAATGCTAACCGGAGATGAAGGATTTTCAGAATAAAAGCTTAACAACTGGTTGTGTACAAGAACTTCTGGTTTTTCAGTATAAAACAGCATTTAAACTGATGGTATGTTTGAGGTACTTTATGCCATTAAAAATATTGATTTTAATTTCTAACACTACCAGCCAAAT